TACGGTAGCCTATTTTGCGTCATATTTTTGTACCATGGATTCTGTGAACCATAATTTAGAGTCTCCCATTAGCAATGTAACTCTCTCTGTGCCACCTTTTTGGGACGTAGATCCTCTCTTGTGGTTCGCTCATCTTGAGGCTAAGTTTTATAACCACAGAATTACTTCCGACTTCGCGATGTGTAGCAAGCTCAGGTCCTATCTCCTCAAGGAGATATCAATGCAGGTTCGTGACGTTATCATTTCTCAGACCGAAAACCGCTACGAGGCTCTCAAGGAGGCCACGATTAAGCGTGTTATGTCTTCTGAGGAAGTTCGCCTGCAGCAGCTTATTAGGAATCTGCGGCTGAGCGACAAACTGCCCTCAGCCCTACTACGAGAGATGCAGGAACTTCTTGGTTCCTCAACCATGGACGAGACTCTACTTCGCGAACTATGGCTACATCGGCTACCGGAAAACACGCAAGCGATTCTTGCTATCGTGAGCTCCGTTTCGCTCACTCAACTAGCAGATTTAGCGGATCGGGTTATTAAACGATCACAGCCACAAGCCGACGCCCGCAAGATCAATGCCGTCGCGTCCCAGAGCACTTCTATCACTGGCTTACACTCGACTATAAAGTCCTGCAAACACAAGTTGCGACACTTAGTCGCCAGACTCAACAGCTTACTATGAACCGCTGTAGTCATAGCCGATCAAAATTGTCCTTCAAACCTTCTAAGTCTAGCAACAGGCAAGCTTGCTGTTGATACCATCAGCGCCTTGGTACCGCAGATCGTAAATGTATCAAGCCTTGCAACTTTGCCGAGAAGCAGGGAAACTTCTCGGCCGGTCCGTAACGGCGACGGACACGACCGGCCAACCCCAAAGTCGCTTCATCCGCGTTAGGGATTTAATTTTGGGCACCGAGTTCCTGGTGGACACTGGAGCCGAAGTTAGCGTTATACCCCGCAGCTCAGATGAGGTCGTTTCACGCTCGTCGACCAAGCTACCTGAAGCCAATCGCAACTTTTAGCGAAAAACTGCAAACGCTCAATTTAGGCCTCCGACGAACCTTTCGCTGGCCTTTCATAGTATCTGCCGTGCCTTTTGCCATCGCAGGCATAGACTTTCTTCAACGCTTCCACCTCATCGTCGACGCTAAAAGGAAGAAGCTTATCGACTCGAGGACACAGCTCAGTGTTATCGGGACTAGCGCCAACGTGGCTGCTATCACTCCCATTCGTGTCGCACCTCAAACTTCACAGCCTTTTATAGACCTTTTCAACAAGTATCCTAAACTCGTTCGCGTTCCGAACGGCTTGCCTCCAGTGACGCCAAATGTCATGCATCACATTTGCACTAAGGGCCCACCTGTTTCGGCCCGCCCTCGCAGACTAGCCCCGGACAAGCTCAAAGCTGCTAAGGCGGAATTCGAGCGAATGCTCGAACTGGGAATCATCCGCCCGTCCAGAAGTCCATGGGCAACACCATTAGATATGGTGCCGAAGAAATCCGGTGACTGGTGCCCCTGTGATGACTACAGGGCACTTAACAGTTATCGTCCCGGATAAATACCCCATTCCGCACATGTACGACTTAACCTCAGCTCTAGCTGGTAAGTCTATCTTTAGTAAAGTCGACCTAGTCCGCGCCTACCATCAAATACTTGTCGCGTCATACGACCTCAGCGTTGCTGAGGTCGAACTTTTCAGCGTTTCATTCATGAGGTAACGCGAGGATTCGAAGGCGGTTATCCCTATCTGGATGACATTCTCATCGTTAGCACTTCCGACAATGAACATCTCCATCACCTCGACGCTCTCTTCCAACGCTTAACGCAGCATGGGGTTAACGTCAACCCCGATAAATACGAGCTTGGCCAAAGCTCCATCGACGTTCTTGGCCACCGAATATCCGCTTATGGTATTGAAGCTCTGTATGACAAAATCCAGACACAAGGATTATCCTGCTCCTAGTTCCTTCAAACAGTTACGCCGATTCCTTGGCCTGGTCAACTATTATCGACGCTTTATTTCTAACTGGGTGAGCATTGTTCAGCCAATGACTGACTTGCTCCGCGGTAACCAAAGCTCTTTTCATTTTGCAGACGACGCTAGATTGTCTTTCGATAAGCTCAAAGTCGCTATCTCCAACATAGCGCTTCTCGCCTATCCAGACACATCTGCACCAATCTCCCTGACAACTGACGCATCCGACACTGTCGTCGGTGCAGTTCTTCAACAACTCATTGACCATCGATGGATACCTCTAGGTTTCTTCTCGAAACGTTTACAACCTGCCGAATCGCGTTACAGCACCTTCGGTAAGGAACTGTTAGCTATCGACTTAGGTATCAGACATTTCCGACACTATCTCGAAGATCGACATTTTACAGTCTTCAGTGACCACAGACAAGTATTCTCCGCGGGAAACTAGACACCTAGACTACGTTTCTCAGTTCACGACAGACGTACAACATGTCTCAAGTGATCTCAATCCCGTCGCGGATGTGTTTTCACGCATTCAGCAGATCAGCTTATCGCCTGGCACCATCCTCAACCTAGCCGCAATGGCTGCTGCTCAACAAACTGACCCCGACATAGACAAGCTACGACGCAACACCTCTTTGAAACTACGCGAAGCTGCACTAGCTTCAACTAAGGGGACCATTCTTTGTGACGCCTCACAAACTTCTCCCCGACCCGATGCGTTAAGTAGTTTTCAACGCTTTACACCACCTGTCTCATCCCGACATACGTGCTTCGCAAAAGCTCGTAACCGAACGCTTCGTATGGCCCAACGTCAATCGCGATGTCCGCATGCTTAGAGTGTCAGCGCGCCAAGGTATACAGATACACCAAAAGCCCACTTGGCGTCTTTCCCGCTCCTGACTCTCGCTTTGCACACGTCCATGTCCTTACCTGGTCGGACCTTTGCCTCCATGCAAAGACTACGTGTACCTCCACACCTGTGTCGACCGATTCACTCGTTGGCCAGAAGCGATTCCGATAGTTAACTGCTCATCTGAGACAATCACACAAGCTTTTCTAGAACACTGGATAGCACAATTTGGTTGCCCAAGCGTAGTCATCAGATAAAGTAATACGGCCAGCCGTGGAACCGTCCCCAGTGGACCTGCTTTCATGTAAGGTATTCCCTCGAAAGGTTTCGCCCGCATTTCCATGCTATAACTGGCCGCGTGCCGTGCAAAGTAACAAATAAGCCATCGCCAGTTTAACATATGTTGTATTGTTCTTAGGGCTGCTTTTATGAATGCATTATGGGCGATGAAGCCTCAGCCCGGTCCGTCATGCGGATCATTCAATCATGGCACTTTCTGTACGCCAGTCAGTTGGTGGCAATGTGCCTTGCATAGGTATAACGTTTTATAATCTGTAAGCTTCAATCCGTCACCTCAGGAGATCAGACCGGTCGTGGCCAACAATAAAATAAGGAATAATGTAAAATAAGGAAGATTGAGTGCAATAAATATAATATCGTCAATGCCAAAAATAAGCAGATATGTTTTACAACAGCGTAAAAATGGATCGAACCGATCATGTGATCGGATTGTGCGGCGTAACAGCCGAAGACAGATAACTGCACGAGTTATCCATAGGCAAATAGTTAAATAGGGAATCCGATATCGCCAATCAATGAAATACGGTATATGTATCTGAACTGTTAACTCCAGAAAAGAAGGGGAAACGGTTAGCATTACAGAAAAATGCAGCGAAGGGAATTGATAAACAAATATTACGAATTAGTCAATTTGAGGGGAAGATTACGAAGATAGTTCCGCGGCACTCGTTGTGACCGCAACAGTATTGCGTAACGTGGTTACCCGGATTTCCGCACTTTTTTCCCATTGTACGAGTGTTAATAGCAATCATTTGTCTTGCAAATAGGAAGATAAAAGCTATCCGGTATATGCTATAGCCCAGTGTGAATTCTTTTCAAGTCTTCACCAATAGGGCCCGACGACTGGTGGTAAGGAGCTGTCACGCGCTCTGAGGTGAAGCGCGACTTGACACAAGTCTATGCGCGATGAAGAGTCGAGCTAAATGGCGTTTGTGTTTTAAATTTCCTTGTAAATCTCTCCAACTTAATTTCTTCTTCAATCCCCATTTCACACCTGATGTAGTAAAGATTCTCGGCATAATTTTACTCGTTTTTGTTTTGTATTCTATAATTCATCGTATCCTGACGTTAACCGTATATCTTATCCTTTTATATTGCGGTACAATAGCTGAGGCATTTCTCGCATTAAGCTAACGTGTAACGATGACCGTCGTGTGTTCCATCTATTTGCGAAACCACTTTAGGATGTGTTCATTGATTCGGACACTTAGATTTTAGTAAGTGCGCCACATAGCTATCATCTTCACGACTACATGTGAATCTGGAAAAACAATCGAAACTGCGCCGCTTACACACGGGTGTTTCACAGAACGCTTAAGCTGTGGTCTGGTTGACAAGTGTAAGCGTGGCGCTGCTGCAATGCATGCCTTTTCATTGTAGTGCTTAGCTGAACTATTTGTTAGTTGCATGTGCGTGATTGAAGAGAATGCACGAAGTGCCGGCGTCACCTCACAACATGCGCCTTCCAATAATTTTACTTGGAATCGTAAGGGAAAATTCATGTTTCAAAAGAACGAAATTAGTCGGAAACACTTTTGGCGAACTGCAAAGCGCATAGAAATATGGAAGAGAACTGGTTCAAAGGCATTGGTAATCGTCGTCAAGGAACATATGCACAACAGTGTTTTGGTGAAGCGGAAGCGGAGAAGCGCGCAAGCGAATCTATTTGAAAGACGCAATGAAAGAAAAAAATGATCGTCGTGCGGTTGTCAAGTCATGCAAAAAATGCCGAAAAGAAAAACCCACATTGATAATATAGTGGGCCTGAAATCTGAAACAAAAGGACGGTTGTATGTACAGGATGCAAGTGGAGTCAAAGGAACCACAAGATTGTCAAGGCAGGTAAGGCATTGCGGTAACTAGAAGGGCGGTTTAGAATAATCCTTTCCATTTGGAGCGCCCCTTCTCCTTTGCTTCCCATTTCTCTAGGGATGGTCGAATCAGCTGGGAAAGAGAAGAGCATGCTGGTAGTGAGAGTGAATTGAGCGTAGAATAGGGATTTAAGGGGTTAACAAATCAAATAGGCAAGAAAAATAAAAACAAACAGATAACGTAGCATAACATACACGTGGTGACAGATAATACAGAGATCGTAGAGCTCATCGATAGATTCGAGGTGGTGCCTGTTTTGTACCACGTGCTGGATCAGTGCAACCTCTGTACCTTTCACGAAGATGACCGAAGGATCGCTTGGTGGTTGCAGACATACAGTCATCCGAAGCACCACGAGTATGGCAGACACAGATGCAGCTGCGAGACGACAATTTTTCCGGTAATAAATTGCTGAGAGATTTGAAAACTCTCTCCTGAGCTTGGACAGTACAGCCCCATATGGATGAGAGACCAGCATGATAGCAGCAAGAACTAGGTCGTTCCATCCTCGAAGCAGAGCGATTGGTAACGGAACAAGCCGCAGTGGATTGCTTAGATTTTTGCTCAGGGGATGAGCAGGCAGAGCGATATCTAAACCCAGAGAAGCGTGGGAACGAGAAAGACACACGACATCGAGAAGTACTCGAGTTGTGGCGGCGAGAAGCACGACGTAGAGGCTGCGGCCGGCAGTTGACGTGTTGGAATCGAAGTGTACGACGACGAGGGAATATGAGAAAAACGATAAGCGGTCATACAACAGGCAGGTTGATGTAAGAGATTATTCAGATGAACATATCATCTGGAGTACCCCCAACACTTACCAGTTAATGAAATTAGCGGAAAACAGAAAACAAATCAACAGACGGAGCCATGAGCGCAAGGACTCTATCATATACATATTATTGTGAGTGATTAAGACGAAGGCGGTTTGACAAGAACTGCTAATCCCAAATGGATATAAGCTAAAAAGCGAAACACAACAGAGCATACAAAAGACTGTTGAGCTGGGCATAATAGGTAGAGATAATGTAGGTGGGGAAAACTTGAGCACAATACACATAAGAGCAACCAGTTGGGGGACACTCAGTACGCTGAGTTAAGGGAACAAGAGATGTGGATAACAGCTCGTGTGTCTGTGAAAAAGACAATGTACACGGAAGGGATTTACAGCGTCATATTTACACAAGTATCGCTCGCCGGGTCGATAGAGCAGATACGCGTTGCACGATAGAAAGTCTCACCCTCTCGAGAAACATAGCAACCTGATTCGAGCGCATTTTCCCTGAAGTGAACGATCACCAGTAGAAGAGCATAACGGGTAAACGTCCGGTCCGTGGCAGCGGATTCAAACTGGTATTATGCAATGCAACACACACTATGCATGTGTGCGTAGGTGATAACGAGGAGACACGTAACGATCAATGAAATCCGAGCTAGATGGCAGAAGATGCCGCAATGATCAGTTTTGTTGTTTCGGGGACAGGTTGCGCGTTAGCTCTACAATAGCACGACTAAACTTCTATCGGTACTCGGTGACTGCCCTGATGTAAAATCGTGAGCAAAATAGACCCAATTAAAAAGACGACGTAGCTTTTAAGTGCTTTGGCCGATGAGGCCAAAAGTGGTCTGTTAATGAGTAAGTTGAGAAGGACGGACTAGAAAAGAACAGAAGTGGAAAGAACAGTGGACACGGTACTCCTTCAGCTGTTCATTCCGAGAGTGTGAGTGGAAGTGATGCTCAGACGATCTGCGAGATCAAATGAAACGAAAGGTCCACTTTCACATAGTGGACAGCGGGTAGTTAGTGCAGCAACACACTGACTAAACCAAGCTGAGAACCGAAAAAGGAATCAAAAGAATAACGCAGCAGTGACTGACAGGGATTGCAAGTTAAAAAAGATAGGGCTACGGGCCACTGATGCGGTTCTTCAGTTATTTACCATTCATAAAAATGACGGCATTTGATGCGATTCATGCTGCGACAACTCATGGTTGTCGAGCAACCAGGCATGTTCTCGGTGGGTACTACGCACAGAAGAAGGTATGCGAATAAGCATGAATCGGAGCAGTTCGCGCGACCCAAATGCGTCAAACTGCTTGTGGCAAAGATACAAACACAGAGAGTCGTAGTGTGGAACACTTAGTGGTGTCACCGGAAAAGAGCAATGCTCCGAAGGCACCAAAGTTCACAGAGTAGCCTGATTAAGGTAAGAAATCCGATTCGTCCGCTAGTAAACACTCGCCGACTGGTTCGCCGTTCACCTTGGGATACTGCCTATCTAAACACATGCTTGGAAAGCATGATACACAGAGGCCCAGTAAATGAAACAAAAAGAAAGGGGATGGGATAAAAAAGAAACCAGAGGAAAATTTCGCCAATCCATTCAGATATCAAACAGAAGTTTACTCATAGACAGACAATGCCCAGTGAGTCCCCGAATAAATAAAGCGTCTGACTTGTAGGTCGCCGGTGCAAGCGATCTAGCAGTATTCGCAGTCAGCAGGTGACTTCTGGTGACTGTGTGGCAGCAGAGCAACGATGTGACATTCCGGTGTACTTCCGATGCCTATCCTTCTTGTATGTAGTCTACGGATAGAGAAAGATGAGTATGCAAATTGTAACGTTCTGTGAGGGTTCGGGTCTACAAAAATCATCACTGTCAAGAGATGAACAAATGGTATCGCGAGTCCAACCCAAAGTTGCAGGCAAGCTCCAAATGCAAACGGACCAGATTTCGTGGTGCGGCAATTAAGGCGATTTCCGCAGTACTTCGCAAAACATTTTAAAGAAGAGAAAACACCCTACAGTGAAACGCAACAAGGTTCCGGTATGACTGCAACCAGAAACAGTGTACAAAATAAGGACAAATTCTCGAGTGAACAAAGCAAGGATGGGCACAGCATCAGTAAAAACCATAATTAAACAGTGGATTTAACAGTGGCTATCCGTTAGGTTACAACAACTGACCTCGCGGGTCAGAGGTCGTAAGGCGTTTTGGCCAGGGTAGTCCCAACCCTCTAGTTAGATTCTTCTGGATACACAGCTCCAGGTCATACAGTCGAATCCCAATTGCCTTAGCAGCTTCTAGTATTCCTTTTACGCACGTAGTTCGATCAGTTCGCCGGGGCCTGATAGATAATGTTGAAAGAGTCAACTGATGTAGTGGTATGCTCTGTGTCAGCAAAGTGTGCGGCTATTGAGGAGCTGACTGGTTTTCCGCTTCCAGCTCCAAGCCAGGCCGGGTGGTTTTCCTTCACTCGCTCGGACAGACGCCTTGTTGTACGACCAATGTATCCTGCTCTTGTGGAGCAGGAAAAGGAATAAATACACATTAAATTGGTGTGAACAGACCTCTTATCCTATGAGTTCACCAGCGGAGTGCTAGTGAACTGGATTTGCATTCTTGTATTGGGGTAGGTACGTCTGAGGGCGCAAAAGACGACAAAATAGAAGTTCCATTGTAAATTCGCCCTTGTGTGACAGCAGTAGGAAGATCGGCTTATGTTCTATTGTCAATACTACGGGCTTTGTGCGATTCTGTAGCATGTTGGCACTCATGAAACTTTCGGGGTAGCCATTCTCCCCCAGCACCAAGCGAACGCACTCCAATTCCTCAGGAAACATGTCTTCCGAGTAAATAATGTATTCAGCTCGGCTCACTAGGATATGGATCACATTCCGTTTAAAACTTAAAGGCACAAAACTGTAGAAATTTGTGTACTGTCCAGTCCATGTGCAGCGCACCTCCATCAAGTCTCCTCAGAGCGACGTCTAGGAAATGAAAGAGGCTGTTTTCCTCCACTTCGTAGATAAACTTTATTGCTGGGTGGCACTGGTTGAAGGTGTTTGTTAGCTCATCAATACTTCGCGAGGCTTGAAGTAAAACAAAGATTTCATCCACATACCCGTAATATGGATTGAGGTCTGCGATTGTTGATTTTAAGTAGCGCTGTTCCAGTATGCCCGTGAAAACATCGACAAGGAAGGGTCCAAGTGGGGGACCCATCGCACTGCAGGTATACTTCACCATTGAAAAGAAACTGAACATTGAGTGTGGATCTGAGTAATAATTCCTTTAGGATCACAGTGGGCATGCCCACATTTATGTGATGTGTATCAACATACAAATGTGATTTATCGTCTCAAGCAGTGGCACGTCGGTGAACAGTGAAGAAACATCCAGCAAACACATGATCAGATTGGTGACGTTTACATCCCGTATGGTAACGACAAATCCAAAGCTATCTCTCAGAGTGTGCACAACAATCCGCTTTCGAATAGGTGCAAGAATCGCAACCAGCCACCGAGCGATCGTATGGTACGGTGAGTTTTCATATCCAAGGGATCATTGGACTTATAAGTCTGTGGTAGTCCATAGAGTCTTGGAATAACCGTGCATATTGGTCGAAACTGTTCATAAGCGGCATTGTTAATATAGCCATCGTTTCTAAGCTTTGTGAGTGTTGCGAAATTGAGTTTCAATCTGCATTGTTTCGTTTTCCTCACCAGTGGCCTTCAAAAACTTGGTATCATCAACCAGTATTTCATCCATTTTACTTACGTAGTCCACTCTGTTCATGATAATAATGCCCGCGCTCTTATCTGGTCGAGAAAGTACAAAGTCATGGTTGCTAACTAGATTATTTAGAGCTTCAAGGTGTTGCTGTCGCACGGGGGTATTGTGTGTTATCCTCGCATATCCATATAGGTAGCAGGTATGCAATAGAAACAATCTAAAGTCGTCCGCATGCATTTCAGAAGAAGGAATCAATTGGGAGGTCTTCGCGTGCAAATATTCAAACTGGGTTTCTATTGCTAGTCTATTATTTTTTCTAGCAGAGGCAGAATTTAGAGACCGGTGATACGGCATTACGGTCAAGCGTCAGGTACGATACATTTTTAACATGCCTTTCCAGATCGACTGGGAAAACTGTTGTGGACTTCTCTTCTATAATTGCCTTTATGAGCCCATGACGTAATTTGGATTCCTGTTATACGACAACCTCCTTCATCAGCTTTAGCTCTGTGTGGTCAGTTGTTGAAAGACACAGGACGGTCCAGGCAGAGTTTTACATTTGTAAGATCAAAAGGCAGTGTAAGCGAACACATGTTATCGATAATTCCTCCCCAGGTTTCTACAGTTATATACAGATAAAAACAAAATGGCTAGACTGACATTACCAGCCGTTAATCCTGAAGCGAGTTAAGTACTGAGAGTGGCTGTCCGTTAGGTTACGACAATTGACTTCGAAGGTCGGAGGTCATCAGGCGTTTCAGCCGGTGTAGTCCCAACACTCTAGTTAGCTTCTTCTGGATACACAGAAATCGAAATTACGCCATCGGCTCACAAAGACATTAAAAGAGAAGCCTACAATAGTTTTCCTAGTCGATCCAGAAAGGCATACACGTTAGCTGCAGGTGGAAAACACCTCAACTATTGTGCCTCAGTACTAAAGACAATAAAAGAAAATCAAGAGAAGCAGGCCCGCTGACTCCCCAGTAACGGATGGACATCATTCCGGAGAGCTAACAGCCGGCTATCCTGCATCAAAAAGAGTTATACTATGCCTAACGAATGAGATCATGATTGGTGGGGAAGGTAAAGCGGGAGGGGGTGGACATAGCAACGTATAACACAAACGTCATTGGGGCCGGCTCCTAGCCATATCAGCAAGC